AGGCAAGGTATGTGGCACAGAAGGAGAAACGGGTTCCAGGGAGAGTCCCAATCCTTGAGTCATTTAGTAACCAACAAGTGTTTGTTGAGTGCATGCTAAGAGCTGGGTCTGGAGCTAGCTCTAGGATGTACAGGAGTGAACAAACAGGACCTTGTGCTTCCCATGGGAGTTTAAGGCCATGGGAGAGGCAGGCAAAGATAAAAGAAAATGACACAAATGAATGCGTAATTGCAGGGCATCAAAAATGCTATGGTGGAATGGGGTCCTGGTAAGATTAAAGTGAGTCACTGGGGCAACCTCCCATAGGTCAGGCGATTTTGGGGGGCAAGTGGGTGTTTAATGAGGTGATGTGGTGGTGGAAGGTGCAGAGAGGGCTGTTCCAGTCAGAGGGAACATTGTGTGCAGATAATCATTATCCCATCCAGAATAATCCATCAAATATAAACACACATAGGTGTGGAATAGATGTGGAATAAAGATGAGCCACCAGGCAGTTAGACTTTGCTTTTGTATCATCTGCAGGGAGAAAAAGCTTCTAGATTCTTCCCTCTGGCTCTCTGACCCCAGGTGGATGTCTCTAGAGCAGTTTTTGGCATGTCCCTGAATCCTAGGTCCTGTGAATGTCCCTGGGGATCTCTGATTGACCTCCATCACAGTGGACCAAGCAGTACTCTATCTAAAGGGGCCCAAGCAGGCAGAAATAGATGTGATGGCAAAGAAAACGAACTTCGGAAGGAGGAGCTGTCTTGTTTCTCTGGATTCCATTGCTAGAGAGGATGGGATTCATTGGGAGTTCTGAGCTGCCAATCCAAGGTCTGCCCAGCTGAGGTCTGCCAGTTCTCCTAAGGCTGCCTGAGGAATAAGTTCACTACCCCAGGAGCAGGAAATACCGTAGTGATTAAAAAATGGAGGACGAGGGCCCAGTGGCAGGAGTCCACCCCTTGCATGCACCGGGATCCCACATGGCACCTGTTCTAATCCCAGCAGCCCCACTTCCCATCTGGCTCCCTGCCTGTAGTCTGAGAGGGCAGTTGAGGACTATTCAAGGCTTTGGGACCCTGCACCCACATGCAAGACCTGGACTCCTGGCTCCTGACTTCGGATGGGCGTCACTACGCCCGTTGCAGCCGCTTGGAGAATGAGGCAAAGGAAGGAAGATCTTCTCTGTATATCTGCCTTCCCAATACAAATAAATAAATCTTTTTTAAAAAATGGAGGGCATGCATAAGAGTAACCTGGCTTCCGTCTTGTCACCTTCTGGGACATACTTCACAGACAACTCCTCTCAACGTGTCCCAGAAGTGTGTCCTGGGAACAGGTGTCTCTCCTGCCCCGCTTGGTCATGCTCTGCCTACCTGTCTGTCTCGCCTCCTTGAGTACTGGGCTCCTTGGGTGTGTCAAATTTCTGTTCTGTGCCCAGCACCTGGCATCTACATGATAAGCATTCAATAAATATTTGTTAAAGGAATGACTACCTCGACCTTATTGAGTCATACTGTTTCATTTGCTCAACATTTTGAAACTGAATGATTTTTTTAGGTAGGTGAAACTAAACTAAGGTTTTTATTCACATGGATGTAGCTGATGCTTAATGGGGCACTTTACTGAAGGAGTGTCTATTAATATCTCTGTATTCATGCCCTGGAATGTTTGTGGAGTATAATTTATTTCTTCAGTGTATTGATTTTGTAACAAAGCAGCACTTTGGGTAGCATTCCTACATCCTGGAGCTGGTGACTTGAGTGAGGCCTAGAGTTCTTCCAACTGCCATTCTCTGTCCAGAGCAGTAGACAGGTCTGTCCCTCCATTAAAGAGAGAATGCAGGCATAACGAATCCTGCCAGTTAAGACCGTGAGAGAGGGTGGGCAGGGATGGCAGCAAGCCAGGGTGGCCTGTGGCATTTTGATAAACAAACTTCAATATTTATCAGAGCTGCTCCAGTGTGCTGCCCTGGCTGTGAGAATAGGAAGCCCTTCCTGGCTGGGGTAGAGCTTTCTCAGTATGAGATAAACGCTTGGGGCCAGTCAAGGGAAAACAAAACAAAACAAAAAAAAGAATGTTTGTACTCTGCTCCCCAGCTACCTAGGTTAATTTACCACACTAGGAGGTCTTGTAGTTCATTAATAATATACAAATAGAAATCAAGGAAATAAATTGCCTTGTTAATTGACTTTTGTGATGCTAATCTGAGCCTCCTTGGCTTTCAACACTATCCAATAACCACATTCGCACCTCCCTGGAACAATTAATTTTGGAGACAATCAGAAGCTAGATCACGTGGATAAGAATAGAAGTCATGGCTGCTGGCCTTTGGAAACACTCTGGCCCTGTGTGCCCTGCTTAGGATCTGGAGGAGGAGGGCACATTTATAAGAGATGAAGAAGTAAGGGTAGACTCAAGTGTCCCATGATACAGCCTAGTTACGTTACAAGAGAAGAAAATGTTGGGCTGGCCTGGGCTGACCTGAACTGTGGAAGGTGTTGTCCAGGACCTGCTCCTGCCCACATGACTGCAGACTGAATAGAGGGGCTGTAGTGGATAAAGTTGCTGCCTGCAACAGTGGTATCCCCATATGGCTGCCTGTTGGTGTTCTGCTGCTCCACTTCTGGTCCAGCTTCCTGTTAACGGCCTGGAAAAAGCAGTGGTGATGGCCCTGATACTTTCATAGGAGACTTGGCTCATAGGAAGTGCCTTGCTCCTGGTTTCAGCCTGGCCCAATGCTGGCTGTTGCAGCCATCTAGGGATTGAATCAGGGGATAGAAGATCTCTTTCTCTGTATCTCCCTCTTTTCTCTTTAACTCTGATTTTCAAATAAAATGGATAAGTCTTAAAAAAAAAACAATTAACTAGAAATATCTTGAGATGCAGCCAGTTGGTCCAATTAGGAGTAAGGTTCATGAGTCTTAAAAAAAAATCACATATCTGTCCTCTACTGACACCCCTGGGTGGAATTCTGCTTCTCCTGTCTTTTCTGACCATTGCCTGTAAAAAGGTAAGTTTACTCAGTTCAATTATAATGAACCAAGAATAGTAGAGTTTAAGGAGGAGGCTTCCCAGGAGTCACTCAACCCAAGTCCAGGAACTGGATGTTCAAGTCGGTGAATGTGATCTGGACAGCAGCAGCCTCCCAGGCCCCAGCCTGAGCTCTGAGCCCTCCGGGGCAGCCCGGACCGCCTGGCTGACAGATCTGACTCAGCCTCCAAGACTCAGAGACTTGAGGCCAGATTGTATAGCAAGTTGTGGGTGGAGAATGGGAGTCTTTCAACTCCTGGCTTCAAACAACCTAGTGCTCTTGTTGGATTTTTCTGTTCTACCGGAAGTCCTCCTGGATCATTTACCGCTGGGGTTTCTCCTCTGTGGCCCTGCTCTTGGAAGCTTCCTAATTCCCTCTCTTTCTTTCTTTTTTTTTTTTTAAAGATTTATTTATTTATTTTTTATTGGAAAGGCGGATATACAGAGAGGAGAGACAGAGAGGAAGATCTTCCGTCCGATGATTCACTCCCCAAGTGAGCGCAACGGCCGAAGCTATGCCAATCCGAAGCCAGGAGCCTCTTCCGGGGCTCCCACACAGGTGCAGGGTCCCAAAGCTTTGGGCTGTCCTCGACTGCTTTCCTGGGCCACAAGCAGGGAAGCTGGGTGGGAAGCGGGGCCACCGGGATTAGAACCGGCGCCCATATGGGATCCTGGGCGTGCAAGGTGAGGACCTTAACCACTGCGCCACCGCACTGGGCCCGGGATTCCCTCTCTTTCTTACCCACTTCATTAAAAGAATAAGAAAAATGATTTGGAGTTTAAAGCTTGAGATGCATTTTACTCTTCTGTGAAATGGGAATAAACACTCCTAGCTCAGAAAGCAAGAGGTGGAATTAAAGGGACATTACCTAATGTGAATTCTCCAACAATGTCTTTTCAAACTTGATCCACAGTATCAGGTTCACAGTTGCTTCCTGCATGAATGCAAAGTGCAATAAGGTACAGCAGGAAATACTGGTGCACATCACCTGTCACAGGGGCAAGTCTGTGAATACTTCTGGTTTTATACACTGTAAATATGAAATAGACTTTCTGCTGTGAATTATGGTTTTAAAAAATTTGAAAACATTTCTCTAAGAGCTACATGGTTTAAGGCATTGGTTGTTAAAACCTATCTTCAGCTTTGAGGTGGTGTTCTCAGAGATTTATTAAGTCATAAAAACTTTGACGCTGAAAAGATGAAAGATTTCAGTCCTTAACCAGGAGATGAGTGAATTAACACCAGCAGCACAATCTGGTAGCTCAATGATTTAATTCTGTCCATGGACATTTTGTTTAGGCTCTCAGAATATTTATCAAAAAATTTAATTAGTTGCTAGCATTGGAAAAATCAGGAGATTAGCTAAATAAGAAATCCAGGTTTCAGCTTCTCTGGAAAACTTGAAGAAGTGGCCACAGGTGCTGTCTTTCCTACAGGCCACTGCCTGCACCTGTATTCATCTGCTTGAATCCCAGGGAAGCTTTCCAGCTTCAAACTCTCGGTCAGTGTCATGATACGGAGTTGCTGCTCTCCACCATTCCCCTTGGAGTCCTTCCCTACCTAATGCTGGTCGGTGGTTATAAAGAACCACTAAGTTGGAACATCCCTGAGGTGTCCTTTGGTCTTCCTGCTCTTTCGTCAGTGGAGCAAAGGAGTGCTCACGAATGAAAGAGGTGACTCATGCAAGGTCATGTGGATCAGATGAGCAAAGAACCCAGGGCTCCATCCCTGTGGCCTAGTGTTCTGTTCAGCCATGGGAACTGTGGCTGCCATCCTGCTCATCAGGAAGAAGGCCTTGTGAAAAGAAGTGCCCTGTTCACATCCAAGGTAATCAGCCCCCATCTTTTCTCTCTGGGTTCAGCCAAGATGAATGTTTATCTTGCAAAAGTGAAATTAGATCCTGAGTTGTTCCTGCTTGGCTGACGTAATGTTGAATTGTCTCTGACTTTGCCCTCTGTGACTTCTCACGGTCTTGCTGTGGTTGCAGATGCTTCGAGGGCAGCTTCTGCGGGCAGAAGGCACCTGGGCAAAGGGACCCTCGTAGGTGGACATCTGCAAAGGACACTGCTGTCCACTGCCAGCTGACTTTGTCTCACCCCACTGGCACTCAAGGTCAGAGGCAAACAGCTGAGGGGTGGTGGGTGGGAGGGGAGTTGTCCCACACAGTCGCAGGCAATGTCAGTATCAGCAGCCTGCCCTCTGTAGGATCCCCTGAGCGTCCCAGGGAACAAGGGCAAGGTGGACCCGGCTAGGGAGGGATCGCTTTGATGGAGGAAGAACCCACTCTGAGCTTGGCCGGGCTGCGGAAGATATTTTGGTGCTTTTGAGTTTTAAAAAATTACTTTTGTGTTCTGAAAATAGTCAAACACATACAAAAATAAAAAGCATATTTTAATGAATTTCATTTACCTTTTACCCTGATTCAACACCTATCAAATTTTTCCATGCTTCTATGCCTCTCTCCTTCCTCTATTTTTTTTTTTAAATATTTATGTGAATGGCAAAGAGAGAGAGAAATCATCCATCCACTGGTTTCTTCCCCACGTGCCTGCAACAGCCAGAGAACTCAGAAACCTTCATTCTTATCTCAAGATCTTCACCCTCTTCTCCCACGTGGATTATAGGGGCCCAAGTACTTGGCTATTGTTTGCTGTCTTCCCAGGGGCATAATTAGGAAACTGGGTTGGGAGTGGAGCAGCTCGGCCTGAAACCTGCAAATCTACTAGTATAGAATGCTAATGATGCAAGTGTTGGCTTCACCAGCTGCACCTCAACGCAGGCAGCGTTTTTAAACTTTTACTTTGATATATAATTCATATACAATAAAATGAGTGAATCTTAAATGAATGTATTGATGAGCTTTTAAGCTTCTATCATTTTGAAATAATTGCATACCTAGAAAAAGTTGCAAAGCAAAAACAAAACTTTCTATATTTCTTTCTTACTAAGATTCCTCAGATGTTTACATCTCACTACATCTGTCTTCTCATTCTCTTAGCATGCTTTATGCATTCATACTCTATTGTTATTCTTCATGTTTTTCTGAAAACACAGACGTTACTGTTACTGCTCAGAACCATTTGCAGGCCAATGCGTTTTGACCGCTGCTTACCCCGCTACTACCCTTGCTCAAGTCAAGTTGCATTGCAGAACATTATCAGTATTCCAGAAAGTTCTTGGGTGCTTTTTTTGCAAAGCAACAGATGTTTTTAGTTTTATCACCATGAGCTATTAGTTTTGCCTGTTGCTGAACTTGATGTAAATAGAATCAGTCTCTGCTTTATTTTTTGCTGAATTATTTAAAAGGAAAACATGGGTTCTTTTTATTTACATATGCCATATTTCTAAAAGTCATGGGCATTTTCTTAAGTAATTATGATGCCACTGTGGCTCAGTAAAATGTCTTCACAACAAACTACTCTATTTCCATTTCACAAGTAAATGCACAGGCTCAGTGGGTAGGACATCTTGGCCAAGGCCACCCGGGGAGCAGGCAGTGCTCTTTCATGGCCTGAACTTGCAACTGCTTAGCTTCTGTGATTTCTCCAGGACCACGTCCCCAGCAGGTGTCTCGGCTGCCCCTGGGGTAACAGGAAAGGCCACATCCTTGCTAACCCTTTCTCCTGCTGTCTGTGGTTCCTCCCAGCTGGGCCTTCACAGCACAGGTCATTTCAGAGATGTCCTCAGAGGGGTCTTTTGAGCTGGCACTGCTGTATTTTACGGATGCTGCCTGCTGCCTCTGGCGGCTTCTCTCTGAAGACAGAAGAAAGGGAACACCCAGTCCCCAGCGGCCCAACAGATGGGGACGGGCTGGTACACTAGATTGCTGCAGAGAGCTTCCTGTTCATAACAGTCTACACTTGAGAAAAATGTTGAGGCCAGTTAGGTCGTCAAAATGCAGCAAAGACACATGCCTTCAATATTTTAGATTGTATTTGCAAATGAATTCTAATAATACATTGATTCACATTCACAAAAAATGAAGCTAAAACCCATAGTAACCTGTTACTGCAAGAGACATTTAGATGGGAAAAAAATCTAGATGAATATTTCCCTCCTGCAGGGAGGGAACAGAGCTCACCAGGAACAAATAACTTCTTACAAACCTTAGTCAAGTCCTATTAATCACAATTTTATTCTGTCTCATAAGTTATAAGATCCATGTAGCAACTCTGTAAGTCAGAGATTTAAATGCAAATCAAACCCTATACTTTCCCTGAGGATGGATTTGATCTGGAAAAATCTTTCTGTTGCTTATTTCTAAAGCAGAGCTGGATGGGGCTGTTTACAAATAGATTTTCAGCAAAAATATGTTTCCCATTACTTAGAAATAGCTTCTCTGCTCTCCACACGCTGCGCCTGGTGGATTTTACAAGGTTCCTGGGCTGTGTTCTCTTTCCTGGCATGGGTCAAGAGAAGGGTCCTGTGGCTCAGAGGAGCGGGGAGGAAGAAGCTGCAGTGGGAGAGTTGGGGCTCTGGAACTTCCCCATCCTTCCTTCCTTCCCTCCTGGAAAGCATAGGGCTCCTCACAGTCTGTTTTGTGTACAACACTTCTGTGTAAGATGCTCTTTGGTCTTGATAGTTAGCAGGGCAGCCATTAGCCTGTGTGTATAACAGGGGCCAAAGAAAATTGTGTGTGATTGAATAAAAAAAAAAAACTGAAAAAAAAAAAGAGTCTGCCAGGAGTTTGCCGAACTCCAAGGCCCACCTGTGTTTGTCTTGGCAGGGTCAGACCAAATGTCTTAGCAGGCCATGTGAGGAGTCAGAGGCTTGCCAGCCCTGCTAGACCTTCCTCTAGCAGAGGACATCAGCTACCAAGCAGGCCAGCTAACGAACAGGCTCACTGGAAATTCAAACACAGTTGCTGTTCGTGTGGAACATGGTGGCATGGAGCTGAGGTCTGGGACCAGGAGAAGTGCTCTAGAACTTTCTCCAGTTTGTGGTGCCGGGGCCCCTCTGTGCACCCACGTTGCCCCATCCCCTGTAATCTGTCATCTCATCATCTCAGGTGTGCTTCCTGAAGCTCTGTTACCCCACCCCACAACGGGGAGAGAAAGGTTCCCTTCAGTCCATCCAGCATCAGATGTTAAACTCTAGAACCCAGTGCTCCAGAACTGAATACCCACCAAGGAACAATGGAAACATCGCTGGTGCTGTCCCTGCATCAGCCAGCAGCCTGTTTGCTGGAGATCTCATTTAATCCTTGTGGCCACCTCATGAGGCAGGAGTTGTTTTCACCACTTGCCAAATGACATACAGAGAGCAAGAATAAGCATGTCAAGGTTGACAGGTTGCAGGAACTTGTAGGGGGACATTTAGTGCAGTGGGATGTTCACATTCCAAGTTATTACCTCTGGGCTTGTGTTCTGGCTGTGCTCCCTGGTCAGCTTTCTGCTAACGGCTATCCTGGGAAGCAGCAGGTGTATGGCTCAAAGGACTCGGATCCCTGCCTCCCGTGGGAGGCCCAGATTGAGTGCATGGACTCTGCTTTTGATCTTGCCCAGCCCTTGCTCTCATCGTTGTGAACATGTGAGGAATGAACCAGTGGATGGAAGAGCGCTCACTCTCTCTTTCTCTCTTACATTAATGGGGAAAAATCACAAGAATTGGGGTTGGAGCCTCTCTCTCTGGTGCCTCTTGTCCCACAGCCTGGCCTCTCAGCCTCCGTCTCAGGGACATGGTTTCCTGGCTTTGCCAGTCAGGGATCTCTTCCGCACTCACCCATATTTTGTATTTGTTAAAGACAGGAAGTTCCATGTGCAATGCACATATTCATTTTTGTTTCAGGCTCTTATCTCCCTCAGCAGGGTTAGAAAGACTAAGCAGAGACTATAAATTAAGAACAGAATTCTTTGGCACTGAGAAAATAAATGCATTTTTACATGTGATATATATTAGACTGCCCCAAGCTGAGGAGTACCCAGCATGGGTGGGCCACAGAATTGCTCATAAAATAGAAAAGAGAAACCAAAAACCACCCATTGCTGGAAAGGTCCCCAAGAGCTTCACTGAGCAGAGTGCACATGAGAGCTGTGGAAAGAAAATGCAACCTCCAGGCAGGGCGCGGGGCATAAAAAGAGCTCTCTCCCACAGTCCACTTCTTTTTATAAGGAAGAGGGTGGCATCCCAATTGGTCATACAAGCCTTGTCTTGGTCCTGGAGATCCTAGCATCCTGGGAAGCTAGGCACTCACTCTTAAAGAAACAGTATCCTTTTGCAAGCCTGCAAGAGTTCCAGCTCTCCTAAACTAACTTCCTGCCTACTTACCCCATATCAGAAGGACTCTTCTACATCTTCTCCTGCCTGGAGAAGCAAGTGAGGCCTAACTGCCTGCAAAGGCCAGCCCTTTGCAGCACCAAAAGCAGAGAAAATCCTGGGTGCCCCCAAACACTTCATGATTTCCCCCCAGAACCTCATGATCTTCAAAGAAATGGGGCAGGAAGAACTCTTTAGAGAGAGACATTTTCATTGCATTGCATTCTACAAATACACTGAGGGAAAAGAAAAACAAGGCCTGCTAATAGAATTTCCAAGTCAGCAGGTCTAGGCAAGCAATTCCAAGTAGATGGAAAGCATCCTAGCACACCTGGAAATTGATGACAAGTCTGGAGTGAGGACAGCTGCTCTCACTCTGACCACACCTGCATCTCTTTCCCCTGCATTAAAGAGGGGGCTTCCCCTACAAAGTGATGAAACAGCAGTCCAGCCCCTGCCTGCTGTCTAGAGCCCTTGGCAGAGCAGGATGCCTTCTTTCTAATCTTGGTCTGGTACCTGCAGCTCTATCCTGTGGCAGCCTCCACACTGCCCTCTGCTGTCTGCCCTGCTGAGCCCTTCTCCCTGTGCCATTCTCATTTCCTCTGGTCTCCCACCCCTGCCAGGCAGCTGACTGTGGTAAGGAGCTGGCAAGTGGGCAGGCTCGTTTGATGGAGGAATCAGCTATGCTGAGGGCAGCAGAGAGGCCCAGGCTGGGCTTGGCACTGACACCTGTGCATCTCACAAGTCATAAGCACCTTCCTGGAGCAGAGTGCATGGTTGCTCACTATTTAGGGGGAATAACCTAATCTCCTTAGATGACATTTAAGCCTTAATGAACTTACTCTTAACCTTATGTC